CTTGTGTTCTGGCGGTGTGGGTGTGTAGTGGAGTTGATTGTGTGCAGGGGGAGTTTTTCACTGCTGCTGCTATGCTGGTAGTGTTGGTGCACAAAGCACTCAGTGGTGGTAGTGGCACTGCTGTAGTGCTCCCCGTGTGAGCCAGTATTTGAGCTGTCCCTCCTTCTGGTGGTATACACCATGTGAGCCAGTACTTGAGTTGTCCCTCCTGCTGGTGGTGGCACTCAGTGCTGGTGGCACTACGGTGGTGGTCGCCGTGGGAGCCACTAGAGCTTTTCTTGGTCAAGGTGGTGGTGCTATTACTGCTGCTCCTTCGATGAAGAATATTCGCTCCTACATGGTTTTATTAACACCTTGTCTGTGCTAGTGAATGACTCCACACGCTGTTTGTACTCCGATGTGATTTGTCACTCCTTCAGAAGGATAATATAGTGAAGGAGGAGTGATGTTGGAGTCATCATTGCCTCTGGTCACCACAGTCAAGCTACCAGAACCTCGCTGTTGACTGTGTATATATTTTATTTCAGTTATAAATATTTTTACCGACCATAAATCGCCATGCTTTAAGATATTTTAAAACCATATATATCATGTGCTTGAAGTGACGCACCAAAAATTGTTCTCCATGAGCACATGCAGGGAAGTTACCTGGACCTGGAGGTTAGTGATAGTGCTACCAGGGACTGAATATATACTAAGCTAAGTGATTGTGCTCCCCGTATGTGACTCTGCTCGTCCTTTGTGTACATATTGCCACAAGGATCACTTAGTTAAATGGTGTGTAATATGTGCATGACACTCGACCGGGATCCTCTTTCCTGCCAGTGATCGTCCCTACAGATGTACAATCCTCGCTGTGATAACCTAACTAATATTCATTAAAACAATTGTGAAGTGTTTATGAAGGGTTTTACTGTATTTTCTCATACGTTGTTAATGCTATGTTTTATCCCTGGTACCACCGAGTCTCTTACGGGTATTAAAGATTTATCTCAGTATAGAAAATATAATTTAAATATAAATCTACTTTACCCAATAATGAAAACTCCTAACGTTAATAAACTCACTAACTGACAGAGTAACAACTCAAACTGACGGGGATACAAATGTTAATTCATCAAGATTTTTTTATATACAGATTACTTAAACACTGAATTCTGACTAATGGAGGGAGTATGTATAAATGGAAGACAGAAAAACTGTATGTGATATAAAGTGCTTAAAATGTATATTGTGTTTAAATCTGTCAAGTTCATATTTAGAAAGGTTATAGGAATGTGCTGGTGAGGCAGTAGTGAGCACTTGGGGTGAGGCAGTAGGGAGCACTTGGGGTGAGGCAGTAGTGAGCACTTGGGGTGAGGCAGTAGTGAGCACTTGGGGTGAGGCAGTAGTGAGCACTTGGGGTGAGGCAGTAGTGAGCACTTGGGGTGAGGCAGTAGTGAGCACTTGGGGTGAGGCAGTAGTGAGCACTTGGGGTGAGGCAGTAGGGAGCACTTGGGGTGAGGCAGTAGGGAGCACTTGGGGTGAGGCAGTAGTGAGCACTTACTTGAGGTGAGGTAGTAGTGAGCACTTACTTGAGGTGAGGTAGTAGTGAGCACTTACTTGAGGTGAGGCAGTAGTGAGCACTTACTTGAGGTGAGGTAGTAGTGAGCACTTACTTGGGGTGAGGCAGTAGTGAGCACTTACTTGAGGTGAGGTAGTAGTGAGCACTTACTTGAGGTGAGGTAGTAGTGAGCACTTACTTGAGGTGAGGTAGTAGTGAGCACTTACTTGAGGTGAGGTAGTAGTGAGCACTTACTTGAGGTGAGGTAGTAGTGAGCACTTACTTGAGGTGAGGCAGTAGTGAGCACTTACTTGAGGTGAGGTAGTAGTGAGCACTTACTTGAGGGAGGTAGTAGTGAGCACTTACTTGAGGTGAGGTAGTAGTGAGCACTTACTTGAGGTGAGGTAGTAGTGAGCACTTACTTGAGGTGAGGTAGTAGTGAGCACTTACTTGAGGTGAGGTAGTAGTGAGCACTTACTTGGGGTGAGGCAGTAGTGAGCACTTACTTGAGGTGAGGTAGTAGTGAGCACTTACTTGGGGTGAGGCAGTAGTGAGCACTTACTTGGGGTGAGGCAGTAGTGAGCACTTACTTGAGGTGAGGTAGTAATGAGCACTTACTTGGGGTGAGGCAGTAGTGAGCACTTACTTGAGGTGAGGTAGTAGTGAGCACTTACTTGGGGTGAGGCAGTAGTGAGCACTTACTTGGTGTGAGGCAGTAGTGAGCACTTACCTGGGGTGAGGCAGTAGTGAGCACTTACTTGAGGTGAGGTAGTAGTGAGCACTTACTTGAGGTGAGGCAGTAGTGAGCACTTACTTGAGGTGAGGCAGTAGTGAGCACTTACTTGGGGTGAGGCAGTAGTGAGCACTTACTTGAGGTGAGGCAGTAGTGAGCACTTACTTGGGGTGAGGCAGTAGTGAGCACTTACTTGGGGTGAGGCAGTAGTGAGCACTTACTTGGGGTGAGGCAGTAGTGAGCACTTACTTGGGTGAGGCAGTAGTGAGCACTTACTTGGGGTGAGGCAGTAGTGAGCACTTGGGGTGAGGCAGTAGTGAGCACTTACTTGAGGTGAGGTAGTAATGAGCACTTACTTGGGGTGAGGCAGTAGTGAGCACTTACTTGGGGTGAGGCAGTAGTGAGCACTTACTTGGGGTGAGGCAGTAGTGAGCACTTACTTGGGGTGAGGCAGTAGTGAGCACTTACTTGGGGTGAGGCAGTAGTGAGCACTTACTTGAGGTGAGGCAGTAGTGAGCACTTACTTGGGGTGAGGCAGTAGTGAGCACTTACTTGGGGTGAGGCAGTATGACTACTGCAGCGCTTCTTATTTAATTTCTTTTTAAATATTAGTCACAGGAAAGTAAGATGCAGTGGCGGCCACCAGCTGGCAAGCTTCACAACTTAGCTACATCATGGGACCAGCGCACAGGGAAGTAAACAACGAAAAGGCACAATACCGTGATTGGGACAATACACAAATAACCCGCGCATAGGAGAGAGGAGCTTACGACGACGTTTCTGTTATTGTGACTTTGTAAATGGTCCAAGTCGGACTGAAACGTCGTCGTATGCACCTCTATGTGCGGGTTATTTGTGCGCAGGGAAGTTCTTGTAAGCATCAGTCATGTATCAAGCTGTTCAGTTACACTTACTCGGTGTGGAAGAGTTTGCAAGAGGTAGAACGACAGGTCAGTGTGGTTAGTTGTTTGTTAGCTCAGTGCTGCCACCAGGACTCACGAAATCGTAAAAAAACATGATTGCAGACAAACTACGGAACTGGTGGAGTTTAAACCCATGACGGGTTTTAAGACTCACTCGCCAAGGGTTCCAATCCCACTCGTTCCATGCTTTTTATTTTTTTTTTCCTGCCACCAAATGTGCTTTCAGCATCCCATACTCTCCCCACCTGTGTGTTGTGCCTCAACATTCCTTCCCACTCCTGTGGAAGCACTATTTTAAACATTTACATCTCGTCTATCCTCTCCACCTATCGTCACCCTCTCACCTCTGGCTCCCCAATCACCTCTCGTTTCCCCATCACCCTTCACTTTCTTTTCCCGTTCCCCTTCCCCTTCGCTCACTTCTTGCAATAGCGATAAAATTCCTGTGTGCAAAACTGGGAAAACTTTTCCCCTCATACTTCTGATACATTCTCACGCCTGACCTGGTGGTTACTGAGAGTGCTGATGCTGATTTTGTTGCGATATTGGTATACCTGAAAAGGTATACCTGGAGGGTAGTTGCTAAAGTTACACATCCTCTCCGTCTATACACAGCGACCTCCCCATGTTCACAGTTAAGAGTCACATGTAACAGTCCGTTTTTTTTTATTCAGCAGTGGGACCACGCGTAGTTTGTTCCGCATTTCTCATCAGTTCTTAACAAGGCCGATACTAAGCATTTAGAAACTTTCTTAGGAAGAGCGGCCAAGAAAGCTACATTTCTGCTGTCTTGAAAGACGTAGTGTATTGGGGCGGCACTATCGAAGTATACACGTGGATGGATGCCGGATCAGTCTAGCGGATATTAATAAGGCTTTGAAAATATCGACCCAAGATAGAACTAGAAGCCCTGTATTTAAATTCGTATAGCTAGATTTATGCCAAAATTGGCAAAACTGATTGGGAAAAAGATGTACATGATATGAAACAATTGAGAAAGTTAGAGTAACGCTGGGAACAAACCCGTGCTGCTGTAGCTCCTGAGTCACTGGTGACATCACTCTCGTCATGAAGAGTCTTAAATATAGGGCAGCCGGATGTCCTGGTGATCTTTATGGAGTGTAGTGGGTACTAACTTGTGCCCTTCATAATCTAACGATAGGAGTAGAGCTTCCCTTTCTAACTTTTTAAACTTTTTCTGTAATACGATTGGTAACCTAAGAGACTAGGATCTACTACTCATGGGATCGATAACTGCATTACTCAGCGAGTTTCATAATGTTTCACTCACGTCATTGTGTATATAAAAATTTGCATGTTCTTGCGGAACGTGTTTCCACAGTAGCAGCAGCACTGACGCAACACACTGCGGTCTCCAGCACAGGTTGCACAGACATACGAGTGATTTGTGTTTATAAATAACTTTCTCATAGGAGTTGATGGCCTTGCTTGTTACATGCCTTTGGTCGGTTTTGAGGGTTCTTGAATTCTTGGTGACTGACCACCCCAGGTGTTGCGACTCCTGGAGGGTGTTCCGGGGGTCAACGTCCCTGCGGCCCGGTCCATGACCAGGCCTCTGGGTTGTTAATCTGGTACTGACACCAGCAATTTTATTTTTGTGCTTTAATGAAAGGTAGGAGGCCTGGTCACAGACCGGGCCGCGGGGGCGTTGACCTCCGGAACTCTCTCCAGGTAAACTCCAGGTCTCCAGGTAAAGGTGTTTAAAGAGGATACAATTAAAGTGGTGAGGATTTAGTGTTTATTCCCTCGTCAGTAAACAAAGAAGTTATTTTATACTTAGTGAGAATTGTGAAGATCCAAGAATGTTTTCACTTGTTGGAAGTGCCTGAGTGACGGTGCTGGGGATCCAGTTGTGCCTGGGTTGTATACTGACACTAAAGGGACGTTAGGGTTGGTGCTACGCTGGCACCGATGTTGCTCAGGAAGGCATAGTACATTGCTAAGCTACGTGGAACAATATCCTCAAGTTAATGCTACCGTGGATTGCATGATACTCCGGAAATGACAGTACTGTACTTTTGAAATTGTTGTAGCGGTGACCTAATGGTACAAGGGACGTGACGGTACTCTCAGACTAATGTTGTGATTGATGTGATGGTACGATGGGAGTAAAGGTACTCTGAAACTGATGGTACCAAGTTGGTGGTAGGCTGGGACTGAGGGCAGAGTTGAGAATGTTTGAGGTTTTCTAACACCTCGGGGATGGGATCTTCGTGCAGCTGCACTAAGGACGGCTCTGCCGACGACTCCCCTCGCAAGGAGAAGTCCAACGGCCATGTGTTGGAGAACGGCGCCCACCATGACGGTGGCGCCGCCGCTCAGAACGGACACATCGGAGACACCACAGGCGAAACGAGAGGCGAAATCACGGCTAATGGAGCCGGAAACATTGGAAACGGCGTGTTACATAACGATGAGGAGAGGAAAGGTGAAGCAGAGGTGGGGACGGATATCCTGCAGGGCAAGACTGTGCCCGCCTGCCCCGAGGGCAATCACCTCAACAGTAGAAATGCTTGGCTGACAGCAACACCCCCCAACACTCCTGCCCTTCCCATCTCTGCCACCTGTCAACAAAACATGTCTGAGGAAGGTAAGTTTCTTGCTGGACGTCTCACTGTTGTACTACACATTGGCGTAACATTAGTGTTTGAACGGTTGAGTGTCCCTTTTGTAATGTATGTTTAAAGGATACAGGAAATAATGCGAAAGAATCTGGAAATATACTTTATTTTAATCCCCGCTCTGGAATTCCATTCCGCAGGCGCTGTATGATCCTTAAGGATTTAGCGCTTTCATGTAAAAATAATTGCCGAAGAATCTAATAGCAATGAATCTCCTGAGAAGGATTTCAATTATTTGTGTTTCTGTATTTTAGTACAATGTTTTCTTTGAGAAAAATATATTATTACAAAAATAAAATATAAGTTTAGAACTACTTTGGTAAGATAAAGCGGACGTTATCTTCTGGATAATCTCACTGAGGTTCTGCAACCTGAAGGTTCATTGAGCCTAGAAAGGGTGTTACCATATATATTTAACTGATTATTATTGTATGTAAGAACAGTTTAGTTAATGACCTGGTATTGTTTATATTACACAAACGAACCCACACGGAGGCAATAAATGTATCATGTATTATTTTATTATCACACCGGCCGATTCCCACCAAGGCAGGGTGGCCCGAAAAAGAAAAACTTCCACCATCACTCACTCCATCACTGTCTTGCCAGAAGGGTGCTTTACACTACAGTTTTTAAACTGCAACATTAACACCCCTCCTTCAGAGTGCAGGCACTGTACTTCCCATCTCCAGGACTCAAGTCCGGCCTGCCGGTTTCCCTGAATCCCTTCATAAATGTTACTTTGCTCACACTCCAACAGCACGTCAAGTATTAAAAACCATTTGTCTCCATTCACTCCTATCAAACACGCTCACGCATGCCTGCTGGAAGTCCAAGCCCCTCGCACACAAAACCTCCTTTACCCCCCTCCCTCCAACCCTTCCTAGGCCGACCCCTACCCCGCCTTCCTTCCACTACAGACTGATACACTCTTGAAGTCATTCTGTTTGCTCCATTCTCTCTACATGTCCGAACCACCTCAACAACCCTTCCTCAGCCCTCTGACAACAGTTTTGGTAATCCCCACCTCCTCCTAACTTCCAAACTACGAATTCTCTGCATTATATTCACACCACACATTGCCCTCAGACATGACATCTCCACTGCCTCCAGCCTTCTCCTCGCTGCAAACATTCATCACCCACGCTTCACACCCATATAAGAGCGTTGGTAAAACTATACTCTCATACATTCCCCTCTTTGCCTCCAAGGACAAAGTTCTTTGTCTCCACAGACTCCTAAGTGCACCACTCACTCTTTTTCCCTCATCAATTCTATGATTCACCTCATCTTTCATAGACCCATACCGCTGACACGTCCACTCCCAAATATCTGAATACGTTCACCTCCTCCATACTCTCTCCCTCCAATCTGATATTCAATCTTTCATCACCTAATCTTTTTGTTATCCTCATAACCTTACTCTTTCCTGTATTCACCTTTAATTTTCTTCTTTCTTTGCACACCCTACCAAATTCATCCACCAATCTCTGCAACTTCTCTCAGAATCTCCCAAGAGCCACAGTGTCATCAGCAAAGAGCAGCTGTGACAACTCCCACTTTTGGTGTGTGATTCTTTATCTTTTAACTCCACGCCTCTTGCCAAGACCCTCGCATTTACTTCTCTTACAACCCCATCTATAAATATATTAAACAACCACGGTGACATCACACATCCTTGTCTAAGGCCTACTTTTACTGGAAAAAATTTCCCTCTTTCCTACATAACTCTAACTTGAGCCCTCACTATCCTCGTAAAAACTCTTCACTGCTTTCAGTAACCTACCTCCTACACCATACACTTGCAACATCTGCCACATTGCCCCCCCTATCCACCCTGTCATACGCCTTTTCCAAATCCATAAATGCCACAAAGACCTCTTAGCCTTATCTAAATACTGTTCACTTATATGTTTCACTGTAAACACCTGGTCCACACACCCCCTACCTTTCCTAAAGCCTCCTTGTTCATCTGCTATCCTATTCTCCGCTTACTCTTAATTCTTTCAAATAACTCTACCATAACACTTTACCAGGTACACCCCAACAGACTTATCCCCCTATAATTTTTGCACTTTTCTTTATCCCCTTTGCCTTTATACAAAGGAACTATGCATGCTCTCTGCCAACCCTGGGTACCTTTACCCTCTTCCATACATTTTTTAAATAATTGAAACCAACCCCTTCCAAAACTATATCCCCACCTGCTTTTAACATTTCTATCTTATCCCATCAATCCCGCTGCCTTACCCCCCTTTCATTTTACCTACTGCCTCACGAACTTCCCCCACACTCACAACTGGCTCTTCCCTCACTCCTACAAGATGTTATTCCTCCTTGCCCTATACACGAAATCACAGCTTCCCTATCTTCATCAACATTTAACAATTCCTCAAAATATCCTTCCATCTTCCCAATACCTCTAACTCTCCATTTAATAACTCTCCTCTCCTATTTTTAACTGACAAATCCATTTGTTCTACTAGGCTTTCTTACTTTAATCTCACTCCAAAACTTTTTCTTATTTTCAACAAAATTTCTTGATAACAATCTCACCCACTCTCTCATTTGCTCTCTTTTTACATTGCTTCACCACTCTCTTAACTTCTCTCTTTTTCTCCATATACTCTTCCCTCCTTGCATCACTTCTACTTTGTAAAAACTTCTCATATGCTAACTTTTTCTCCCTTACTACTCTCTTTACATCATCATTCCACCAATCGCTCCTCTTCCCTCCTGCACCCACTTCCTGTAACCACAAACTTCTGCTGAACACTCTAACACTACATTTTTAAACCTACCCCATACCTCTTCGACCCCATTGCCTATGCTCTCATTAGCCCATCTATCCTCCAATAGCTGTTTATATCTTACCCTAACTGCCTCCTCTTTTAGTTTATAAAACCTTCACCCTCTCTCTTCCCTATGCTTCTATTCTCCTTGTATCCCATCTACCTTTTACTCTCAGTGTAGCTACAACTAGAAAGTGATCTGATATATCTGTGGCCCCTCTATAAACATGTACATCCTGAAGTCTACTCAACAGTCTTTTAATCTACCAATACATAATCCAACAAACTACTGTCATTTCGCCCTACATCATATCGTGTATACTTATTTATCCTCTTTCTTAAAATATGTATTACCTATAACTAAACCCCTTTCTATACAAAGTTCAATCAAAGGGCTCCCATTATCATTTACACCTGGCACCCCCAAACTTACCTACCACACCCTCTCTAAAAGTTTCCTCCTACTTTAGCATTCAAGTCCCCTACCACAATTACTCTCTCACTTGGTTCAAAGGCTCCTATACATTCACTTAACATCTCCCAAAATCTCTCTCTCTCCTCTGCATTCCTCTCTTCTCCCAGGTGCATACAACGCTTATTATGACCCACTTCTCGCATCCAACCTTTACTTTAATCCACATAATTCTTGAATTTACACATTCATATTCTCTTTTCTCCTTCCATAACTGATCATTTAACATTACTGCTACCCCTTCCTTTGCTCTAACTCTCTCAGATACTCCAGATTTAATCCCATTTATTTCCCCCCACTGAAACTCTCCTACCCCCTTCAGCTTTGTTTCGCTTAGGCCAGGACATCCAACTTCTTTTCATTCATAACATCAGCAATCATCTGTTTCTTGTCATCCGCACTACATCCACGCACATTTAAGCAACCCAGTTTTATAAAGTTTTTCTTCTCTTTTTTAGTAATTGTATACAGGAGAAGGGTTACTAGCCCATTGCTCCCGGCATTTAGTCGCCTCATACGACACGCATGGCTTACGGAGGAAAGATTCTTTTCCACTTCCCCATGGACAATAAAGAAATAAAAAAGAACAAGAGCTATTTAGAAAAAGGAGAAAAACCTAGATGTATGTATATATATATATATGCATGTGCGTGTCTGTGAAGTGTGACCAAAGTGTAAGTAGGAGTAGCAAGATATCCCTGTTATCTTAGCGTGTTTATGAGACAGAAAAAGAAACCAGCAATCCTACCATCATGCAAAACAGTTACAGGTTTTTGTTTCACAGTCATCTGGCAGGACGGTAGTACTTCCCTGGGTGGTTGCTGTCTACCAACCTACTGTATCATGTATATTGTGGCTAAACACTGAGGTCCTCTTCAGCAGACTCACAGAAGAGTACCTCAGGGTTGACGCTAAAATGTTCTGTTCTCGCATTATGTTTATTGTCTGTGTGTCACCTTGTGTAATTCGTGTTTGTTACACACCTCCACTGGCATGTCAGCTGTATGGGCTGTTATGTAGCCCTTTTATGGTGGATTCTTCACTCACAGGACGAGTGGTGCTGCCCAGTCATCTCTCTTCTTTGGGAGAAAGCTGAAAAAAAATGTATATTTCAGTGGAGTACCTTCGTGGGTCTAGCCTGCTGCCTGTGTGAGGGATGTTTGTACCTCACCCCAGCCAGTAAAACATGGAGTTGGGGAGGGGGACGTCGGCAGTAAAACTTAAGCACGTAGTTTAATATTTTTCCTCGTGGAGAAAATACCGTAGAGTAGAAAATTCTTTCCTTGTTTTTCTCGGTATATACAGCTTATTTAAAATTTTTTTTTTTAATTCTTGACGTAGAAAGTTTCTTTTTATTTTATATTTGTCTGTCTTAAACGTCTTCAAACCTTCCTGTGTCACAGACTGTACTGGAGATCCCTAGAACTCCTCGACTTCCCTCCACTACTCCTAGTTTTTTTTTCCGCAACCTCTTCTGTCCTCCACCTTTTCCCTGATCTAACATAAGTTACTCCTGTCCCAGATAAAAGTAACTAATTAGAATGTATTATCGTCTAATTCTTAGGTTTTCCTAACAGACTGAGGATAAGCTGATAAGTTTGACACAAAATCTAAATACCCTCAGCCGCCTTGCCTACCAGGAGGGTATTCCGGGGATCAACGCTCCGCGGCCGGTCCATGATCAGGCCTCCTGGTGGATCAGGGCCTGATCATCGAGGCTGTTACTGCTGGCCGCACGTAGTCCAACATACGAATCACAGCCCGGCAGATCCGGCACTGACTTTAGGTGCCTGTCCAGTTCCCTCTTGAAGACAACCAGGGATCTATTGGTAATTTCCTTTATGACTGGTAGGAGGCTGTTCAACAGTCTTGGGCCCTGGACACTTGTTTTTTCTCTAATAGCGCCCCTACTTTTTACTGGGGTATGTTGCATCGCCTTCTGT